AAAAAAAGACCGTGCAGTATGCACGGGTTCTCGCTAGTAATAAATAATCTTATGATTTATTTGAAATTGTTAACTTGTTAACAGTTAAATAATTAATAATCGTTAATATATTTATTTCTTATTTGTTTAAATAAATAAAAACTCTTTTAAATAAAGAGTTATTGAAATGAGATTATTTAATTAATTATTATTTAATATTCATCTTGATTTATATTTTAATAAAACAATTTATGTCTTATTTGTTATTTGTTTTCATTTTAAAACAGTAACAATTGAACTCTTTTTTAAATTTTGAACAAAAACAAATTTTAAAAAGAATTTTTTTGGAGACTAATATAAATGATCGAGACATAAAATAATAAAATTTTTGTTTAACAAAAAAAAAAAAAAGAAAACGGAATGAATATGATAATCAATGAAATAATATTGAATGTTTGTTAAATTGAATCAATTCAATTGTTAAATAATAAAATCGATATAATTGTAGTAATAATTAAAAATAAAATCGAATAAAATTGAAAAAAACTTCTAGCTGAACAAACAGCACTTGATGATCCCGATGAACATGTACTATATTTTGATTTACAAGCATCTGTACATGTTGTTGAAGCGCATGTTGATACTGATATTGTTCCTTGATAAACTAATGAACAACCAGAACCTGTACAACATGAACAATCACAACCATAACAATTAACATTGTTTATTATATATACTATTATCAATAATAATAATAATATTAATTTAGACATTATTTTTATTCGAATAATATAAATTTAATTCAACTTTCTCTCTTTATTATACGAAGGAAATAAATCCGTTTTTTTTGTTCTTTTTTGTTTTTGCTCATCTACATCGAATATAAGAGAAAGAGAAAGAGAGAGAAAGAGAGAAAGAGAAAAAAAAACGAAAAACAAAGCGCATATATGGGACTTCAATCTATTTTATATTTGATAATTAACTAATATTGAATTGTCTTAGAGATTAGTCCGATGAAAATAAAAACGAATAGTCCGTATATATTAATGTATAATATCTATAACATGATGATAGATTAATATTTATTTTAAAATTATAATATAATATCAAAATAGAAAAATGATATTTTGAAAATAAGCGGCCTCTTTTGTCAATAACATTTCACTGGTTATCAATAAACAATCGATTGAGAGACTTTTTTATTTAAATTAAACAAACGAAATAAACAAATGAATATATCGATTATCTATTTTATAATCAAACAAATCATATATATTTATATTTATATTTATATTTATATTTTATTAAATTCGATTTCGAAATCGTCGATTTTTAATTTATATTTCAATATATAATCGTAGATATATAAAGATAATTTTTTGAAATAAACTTATATTAATTTGTTGATTATTATATATTGAAATGTCATTGTTAATATATATATTATTAATAGGAATAAATAATATTTATTCGAATGAATATTATCATTCAGTAAGATTTTAATTTTAATTTATTAAATAAATAATTTAATATTTGAATTGATTTAAATATATATATATATATAGTCGAAAAGAGAATTAAATTCTATTCGAATTGAAATAAAATCTGTTCTATGTCCAGGTAAAATAACTAAATATTTGATTTAAATATACATATATATGGAGATTTTTCTTTTTGTTGTTAAATAGATGGACAAAGGTAAATTAAATCGATGAATAAATTATTTAAGATACAATAAAATATTTGTCTAGTTATTGTCCTGATAAGGAAACATGTTGTCTATTGTCATCAGGTCAATATGGATGTTGTCCTCTTCGTATGTTTTAGACAATGGAGATTTTTTTTTTTTTTTTATTTCAATTTGTTTTTGTTTTTGAATAATAGCTGATGCTGTTTGTTGTAGTAAGTTAATATAATATTAATTTAAAAAAGCAAACTAAAACAAATCTAAATAAGATGATAATGTTCATTGTTGTCCAAGTGGTTATACATGTGATGTTGAACATTCAAGATGTGAAAAAGGATTTGGAAATTCTGATGATGTTTTATGTCCTGATGGTATCAATCATATTTCAATGTTTTTTATTTTTTGTTTTTCATATTAGTTTTTTAAAATATTTTAGGTGAAATGTTATGTTCTGATGGTTTGAAGATTTTTATTTAAATAAAAAAAAAAACTCTTAATATAAATATATATTATTTAAGGTGAAACATGTTGTCAATTACAAAGAGGAAGTTATGCTTGTTGTCCATTACGTTTGTTTATTATTTAATTATTTTAATTAAAACGCAAATTTGTTTTATTTATTATTTTAGCTGATGCTGTTTGTTGTAGTAAGTTATTGTTAAATAAAAATTAATATTAAAAAATAAAAGTAAAAATTCGAAAAGGTGATTATAGTCATTGTTGTCCACATGGATATAAATGTAATATTGAACTAAATCGATGTGAAAAAGGCATATATATTCAATGGTTTAGAAAAACTTCATCTTTTCCTTTAAAAAATCTCTTATTATCGAAATCAATATCTTATTCTTCACTTAAATTAATTGTTAATTATTCATTATCAGATGTTTCAACAGTAAAATGTTCTAGTTTGTATTGATTTGTTTTTTTTATTTAATTTAAAATAAAAAAAAAATTCTTTTTAATTTAATTAAAAGATAAAAAATCCATTTGTCCTGAAGAAATAAATTGTTATCAAATAGATAAACAATTCTATGAATATTGTTTATATCGTCAAGCATTTTGTTGTTCAAATAAAGTTTGTTAAAATAAAAATAAAAAGATGAATTTG